CATTTTAAAAATAATTCAACATTAGTTTGAATTCCTGTATGGTACGAGTTGGGCTGATATTGCCTTACAAGGTTTACCACATATTTTTGACATAGACTCTAACATTTAAGTTGCTCCAAAAACAATCAGAGCATTGGAATTAGCAATGATCTTATTTACCTCAATATTTTAGGATAGATACAGTACCTTCAGAAAGCATTCAGACCCCTTCACACTTTGTTGTGTTGTAGACATATTTCAAAATGGACTGAATTGACTATTTTATGCCATCAACTGACACACAATACCCCATAATTACAAAGTGAAAACATGTTTTTAGCAATGTTTGCAAATTTATTAAAAATAAAAAAACTGAAATCTCTCATGTACATAAGTATTCAGACTCTTTACTATGACACTCCAAACTGAGCTTAGATGCATCCTATTTCTTTTGATCATCTTTGAGATGTAGTTTAGAACTTGATTGTAGTCCACCTGTGACAAATTCACTTGACTGGACATGATTTAAAAAGACACACACCTGTGTTCATAAGGTCCCACAGTTCACAGTGCATGGCAGAGTAAAAACCAAGGCAAGAAGTCTAAGGAACTCTCCATAGACCTCCGAGATAGGATTGTGTCAATGCATAGACCTGGAAAAAGGTATAAAAAATTGTCAATGCATTGCAGGTTCCCAGGAGCACAGTGGCCTCCATCATTGTCAAATGGAAGACGTTTTGAACCACCAAGACTCTTCCTACAGCTGTCTGTCTGGCCAAATTGGGTAGTTGGGCAATAAGGGCCTTAGTCAGGAAGGTGACCAAGAATCCAATGGCCACTCTAAGAGAGCTTCAGAGTTCCTGTGTAAAGATGGGAGAACCTGCCGGAAGGACAACCATCTCTGCAGCACTCCATCAATCAGGTCTCTATGGTAGAGTGGCTAGACGGAAGCCACTCTTGAGTAAAAGGCATATAACAGCCCACCTGGAGTTTGCCAAATTGCACCTAAAGGACTCTGAGAGCATGAGGAAAAAGATTCTCTGGTCTGATGAGACACAAATTGAACGCCATGTCTGGCGAAAACCAGGTACTGCTCATCACCTGGCTAATACCATTCCTACGGTGAAGCATGATGGTGGCAGCATCACACTGTGGGGATGCTTCTCAATGATAGGGACTGGGAAACTGGTCAGGATTGAGGAAAAGATGAACGGAGCCAAATACAGAGAGGTCCTTGAAGAAAATCTGCTCCACAGTGCACACAATCTTGGACCAGGGCAAAGATTCACCTTTCAGCATGACAATGATCTGAAGCACACAGCCAAGACAACTCTGGAGTGGCTTCGGAACAAGTCTCTGAATGTCCTTGAGTGGCCTAGCCAAAGCCCAGACATAAACCCCACAGAAAATCTGTGGAGAAACCTGAAGATTGCAGTTCAACAACGCTCCCCATCCAATCTGACAGAGTTTGAGAGAATCTGCAAGGTAGAATGGGAGAAACTGCCCAAATCCAGGTGTGCAAAGCTGGTAGAAGCATACCCAAGAAGACTCCCAGCTGTAATCGCTGCTAAAGGTGGTCCTACAAAGTACTGAATAAAGGGTCTGAATACTTATGTAAATAGGAGATTTTAGTTTTTTATTTTTAATACATTTGCAAAAAATCCTAAAAACACGTTTTCACTTTGTCATTATGGGGTATTGTGTGTCGATTGATGGCAAAAAAAAGAATCAATTCAGTCCATTTTGAAATGTCTTCAACACAACAAAGATTGGAAAAAGTGTTGGGGAAGTGTTTCTACCTTGTAATGCTGAGGCCCTGGGTTCAATGCCTAGGGTGCTATCTGTGTGGAGTTTATATGTTTTTCCTGTGTTTACATACAGTAGCTTTCTTCTGGTTTCCTCCCACGGTCCAAAGACATATTGGAAGGTTAATTTACTTCTGGGAAAATTGGCCTTGGTGTGAGTGTGTGTGTTTGTGTCTCTGTGTGTTCTGTCCAGGGTAGTGGTAGCTGTGGATAGTGCCCCCAGTGGTTAGCAAACAAAGCAAAAGAAGGAGACAAATGCAAATGAGTGAATATAGATGTGCAGAGAAAGGGCATATATTCAAAGTAGTTCAAAGGAGTGTCCGACAATGAAAGGCTCAAACAACTGAATCTTTTTTAGTATTGATCAGATAAAACAAGCAGGAGATGTGAGGTTCTTTAACATTTAGAATTCCAAAGTAATGCCTACAATCTTCAGAATCAACAGCAAAAAACAGCCCAGAAGACACAAGTGATAATTAAAGGCAAGTGCATTTAAAACTGAGAACGGACTACATAAGTAGCGAGCAATCATCTTCAAAATAAATTAAAACTTCAGGTTAAATTCAACCAGGTATGAATTCTTTCTTTTGGAAGTATTTCTGTGCTAACTGGAGGTACTCTGGTATAATGTACTCTTGTATATTACGTGCTTTAAAATGATCCCTGAGTTTAAAAGTATTTACAACATAATACCCATTTTACAAGGCTATAATCGCAAACACCCAATTGTGGAATTGCCGCTGTCAGGCTGAATCAGGCTATGGTCTTTGAGATCTGCCATTGTATCATTAAACAACCCATAAAGCACACATTTTTCATTCTCTGGTACGTGACACTAAACATACACAGTAGCCAAGAGTATGGGAGTAAAAGTTGCCACTGTAGCCCCTAACCAACATGTTCATACACACACTCCCTTGGAGTGTATAGATAATGATGAGAGATATTTTCCATGGGGTGGCTTTGTCTGGGGCTGCCAGCTGGGAAGGGTCATAAATATTTGTACAGGGAATTTCTGTGCAGTGAGAGTATCACTAACAGACCTTGACAGCAGAGGCTGAGAGATTTTCCAAGTTCTCACATGGTCTACACGCTGCCACAACATAGCACACAAGGTTCTGCCTTCATCGTAGATCATGGAAAACATCACTATTAATCCTACGTTGACTAATTTTAAACAAGATTTAGATACAATTACAAACCTCAAATTTAATAATTGAGTACTCTATGATTCATTTAGAACAGTGTGTAAACTTTGGGTCAAACTGTTCTATAAAAAAGGCTTTGGTGCCCATTATTAAGAGGAACAATCGTGCACATGCATGATTGGAATGTTAAAAGAACCAAATATGCAAAATCCTCAAGAGTACTGACAAAAACCCAAAGATCACATGGAAATATGAGGGAGTGCAATTTGATCTGAGAAAAGGAGGCATATCTTCATTCCAAGAATTTTGAAAGTCCGAAAAAAGCTTTCTAGCCAAGCGTTCATACATAATTTTCCTCCTTTCTTCATGAAATTGTATGATCTGTATGGCAAATCAATTAATACCTCTAACTAGAATTACTGAAAGATAATTATATCTGGTCTCTTCTGAGTTGAATCTCTCAGGTCATTCTACTATGAATGTAACCCTTTGCCCTTCAACTGCTTTCACAATCCTGCTGTTTCAAGACATTCCCATGACAGGGTTTACATGGAGAAATGGTTAAATATTATTGTTACTTGTGTTTTAAGAAAAGGTTAAGATTGAGTCTATTTTTTTCTTAATCCTGAAAATTTATTTAGCACATAAACATGGTATAAACATGGAAAGAGACGGGGTGGTAATGGGTTTATGAGGGTTATTTACATGTTTTCTCTGTTGTTGTGGGATGAATAAAAGTATATTTTGTCCTACTCTAGCGTCACTGTCTTGACCTATTTCCTCAACAAGTGGTTAATTGATAAACAGGATAGAAATAAACAGACTAGAACTAAGTGCCTCTACAGACTTAACCTTACAGGTCTATAGCTATAGAGCCATTTTTTAAGAAACAGGTGAAACACCTGTAAAGTAAGTGAAGCCTTTGGAAACTTGGTGTGAGGGTACAGTGACCCACACAGCCAAACTAGGGTGACTATCTGGAATCATTCTCTCCTGGACAGGGTAGAAAAAATATCTGCTGCCCCTTAAAACTAAAAGACATTAACATTCAAATTAGGCACATATATTAACTAATCTGCAGTTTTGCCTAATTATCTGTTAAAAATGCAAAGCAGATAAAATGATAATGTTTTAACAGCGTTAACACTGACAAATTAAAAATATTTAATTTTATATTTAAAATGTATTTAATATTTAAATTTAATTTTATATTTAAAATTTAATTTTATATTTAAGTCTATTATATTTAATAGACTAAACATATTAGTAAAAATAATAAATGTGTATTTATTTTTCCTCGATAAAATCTGTATGTAATTCTTATTTTTCTCATCTTCATTTTGCTTCTCATTATTTGTGGCCACAAATTTTGAAATCAAATATTATAATTATTATATTGTTAATTGCTGTATTCTCCTACTGACAAGGCTGACGTTTAATTAGAGAAGTGTTCTCTCTAGTTCCTGCTGATGGATAATGATTTGTCTGTTTTCAAAGCTTTACTTGAACTGGATCAAGGTGAAACACGTCTGGTTATTGTCGGGCAATTGAAAGAGAATGTCTCTCGTTTTGGCACAGCGATGGTGTGATCATTATCTTTGTTTGGTTGAATCCTTTGTTGTAGTAAAACGTGGTACAGCCACAGACACCTTACTGTTTTTGTAAAACAATAGAAAGGGGTGGAAGCAAACCAGTACAAGAATATATACTGTAGCACTTTCAACAGCCTGGGTTCCAACCCACATGATGAACAACCATACATGTGCCTAATAGGACTGTTTTAATATCTGTATATCAGGCACATATTGACATTCATTATTTTATTTGATTTTTTAAATAGTGATGAGTACCCAAACATGATGTACAAGATACCATTGTCACACCATTAGTATACAAGTATTTTTCTGTGTAACCAAACCTGATGATTCTATGTTTGAAGGCGAGGCTTACTCATTATGGGTTAATTGTCTGATTGACCAAGCACTGAGCTCATAAAGGCATCTGCCTTGTCATGCTGGTCAAACAGTCCATTGCCCTCCCTGGGAGCTGGACTCTTCAGCCCTGCCACAGTATCCATTTTTAAAATGATTTCTTCTTAGAATCTCCCTCAAAATGAGTATAACACCTTATTCTGAGATTATGTTGAAAAGCACAGGGAGGAAGGAGATCATAAGATATGTGATAAACGCTAACCCAAGCTGCCAGTAACTAGCTCTGGAAGAGGTATTGTTTCAATTCATAAAAAGTTGCTTAATAGCCAAAACAGTGTGTCGAGACTGTATATATAGAGTGTCCTAGAGAGAGGTATTGAGAGAGAGGGAGAGTGGGAGGGAAAGAGAAACAGAGGCAGTGAAGGAGGAACTGAAAGAAGTGTCTCCAGTTCTGTGAGTTTGGCAGAGGAGTCTTAGTTACTCAGGTGCGAGTAACTCAGGAGTGAGGAAGAGACTTCTAAAGAATCTTGGAGAGAAGAGGACAAAAGATGAACTCTTCAGAAGATACTGTCCTGGCACAGAAGCTGGCTCCTGACCACAGCAGCAACAGTACTCTAGATTCCTCAGCATCTAACGGGTGAGTGAGGGGTAGTGATGGAGGGATCAGCAGGCACTCTGCGCGGAGGGAGTGTGTGCATGGTGGCTGACTGCTGGCTGTTTATCTTCAGACTGAGTTCTGGCACCAAACTGGGCACTGCCAGTGATCTGCGGTTCTGCGCCCTACAGCCTGACTCCCAGAGTTAACATCACTACAGTATAAACCTGAGCCTGAGTCATGAATGCAGTCTTGGCAATTTTATTCTTCCTCAGGAGAAACCTGGAAGAAACCACTTGGAGAGAGGAAATTGATTTCTGTGTTTTTCAAACCACTGAGAAAGACATGAACCTAGGAGTCTGTCAGCTTAGTTTTTAACTGCTTTTAAATCAATGACCTGAAAAACATTTTTTAATGCCAGTAGGAGGCTTTAATATAACTTTCCTAGCCAGTCCTGCCTGTTTTAGGATGTTGGAGTCTTATGTGTGCGTGTCTTGAAAGATGTTTATTGATATTGAGTCTGTCTCGTAAATGGTTAAACAGGAAGAATTGTGCAAAACATTGTCCTGCATGAAAAGCCCTGTATGAAAAAATTAAACCATGTAGTTATTAAAACTTAAACTTCTTACAGCTATGTTTCTCTACAAGGGTGTCAATATTTCACACAGCAATGAGAACAATGTGTATATACAGTAGGTCACTTCAGAGAATATTTTATAAGTAGACTAAAAATAATAAATGTGTATTTATTTTCCCTAGATAAAATCTGTATGATCAAATTAAATCTATATTAAGACATATATTGTATTTCATGAAATGTGGATGTTAAACAGTGTATATTTTTAATTTTAATTGAAATTACATGTTTGTCTTGCACTTAAATTAGAGAAACATCATAAATTTCAGCTTAAGCCTTGCTTTGCTCTTAACTTTTGTTATTAGTGTGTAAGTATAATTTTGAAAAATGGTAAGTTTTTTTCTAAGTTTTGAAAAGTTAGGAACAACATGTGGTGAAATTACTTTGATGTTGTATTATTCATTGTGTTACTTTCATTAAATATGCTTCATTGAAAGCTAGTGAATAATCTTTCAAGATATGATCTTTAAAACACATTATTGCAGACCTCTTTCCCTTCTTGTTTTGCTAGTAGAACTGGCCAGGAACCCTGAACTGGCCAGTCCTGTTGACAGGGCTAAACCTGAACAGACCATCCCAATTTTACAACACCAAGCCTCTCCAGTATCTGCTTTCCTATAGAGAAGGGTTCCAAAATTAAGTCTTGTAAACCATGACAAGAATCTACAGTACCTGATCTTTTTACTGTCCCTGAGCTTTACTTATTAGTGAACTCTTTACCAGCTCTGGAAAATCAGGCCAGAGTGGAGATGACTAAATGGTCCTTTTAAAAAAGAGGATGGAGTTGTGAGTGGTTTGTTTAGAAAGCCTGTGCCGATTGAGTCTGTAAATAATCCAAACGTTATTTACTAAACATGAACAACTTAGTCTGACCCTTGAGAGTTGTAGACGGAGCTGGTGTGCATTAATGATCACACTTCCCCGGTAATGTGTACAAAGATACAAAGTACTGCACTGGACACTACAGTGACCTGAAGTGAAGGAAAAGGAGTATTAAATTAAACTAACATATAGTGATCTTTTACTGTACAGTGCTGAGCAGCAATAGTTTTAACATTTTAAAAACAAGGATGAGATGTAAACCTAGGTCCTGACTCTCTGTGGTCATTAAAAATCCCAGGGCATTTCTCGAAAAGAGTAGGGGTGTAACCCCGGTGTCCTGGCTAAATTTCCCATTGGCCCGTACCAATTATGGCCTCCTAATAATCCCCATCTATGAATTGGCTTCATTACTCTGCTCTCCTCCACACTGATAGCTGATGTGTGGTGAGCGTTCTGGCGCACAATGGCTGCCGTTGCACCATCCAGGTGGATGCTGCACATTGGTGGAGGGGAGTCCCCATTACCTATAAAGTGCTTTGAGTGGAGTGTCCAGAAAAGCGCTATATAAGTGTAAGCAATTATTATTAATTATTATTGTTATTGAGCCATAAATAAGGTTTTCAAAGGCCTAACACAACTACGAACTGCTTTTGCTAGAATGTAAAATCACATAGCACGTGTGTGGAAATAGTATTTTGCACTTCAATTAGATATGGCAAACCCTTTTTTAGCAAACAGTTTTATTAAAGTCTTTTTAATGTAACTGCAGTCTGAGAAAGGAAAGGGATTCGTTAATTTCCTGGAATCTCATGACTTGTAGCAAATGTTAACAGCCACCAGCCATGTCACCCTGCAACTGTAGGGAGGTAGGAAGAGGGCTATGCATCAGAGTGCATTGGTGTCTCATACTGTAGTTACTGCAAGGTACACCAGAGTTTTGGTTATGACCCAGCATATTCTACACTTCTGTTTATTTCAAAACTTGAATTTACACCATCTTTGAAAATAGTCAACTTCTGTTTCCTCATTTCCTCATTTTCCCCAATTTCTTTGACAAATTTTCTGTTAATTTCCACATCAGAAACTGAAAGACCATTGAACTGATGACACTCCTATTAACCACTTGTGTTTTTTTCCATTTCATTGCATTGGTTCAGCTTGCATGAACAACAAGTGCACAATGCCTGATTATCATTAGGACCACAGGAAGAATCAGGAAGCAGCTGTGTTCCTAAAACAGGGGGTTCACAGTGACACCTACATCTTTCAGCACTGCACGAAGCTGACACTTCCTTATCATCATAACAGATCATTGTAGCTCAAGGAAGTTAATGAAAGCCTTGAGACATATTGTCTGGAACAAACACTTTCTTCTTTCTTTTTAGCAAAATAAACATGTTCTGAAGAATGCACTGGGCAATTTTTGACCATGCACAGGAAGTTCTATACCTTGCTGCGAGTTATCTTGTGATTTTGTGTCTTGAAGGATATCAGTGAATTATCTTCATCATTATGTTTTAGTAATTTTTAAACACCTATAGCTCTTTAAGCATAAAGTGCTGCTTTTTCCTGCTCTTTTCACTTGAACCCAATGCTGACATGCTCCATTGCTAGTTTCCTTGTTGTACAGCGGGGCATGCAGGTGTAAAATGACAGGTATGTGTCACTGACAGCAGTGATCTTTCACAACCTGTGCAAACAGCTTTTCTACAGAAACGCAAATCATTGCCTTCAAAAAATCTGCAAGATTCCTTTGTTTTATAGTGTTTTATAGTCCTTATAGTTTATAGTTTATTAGTTTAAATCTAGATGATACAAACCAAGGGTATAGCAAACTCTTACTGGGGAGTCAGGCCCTGTTTGTTTCACTCTTCAAACACACAGACTACTCAGTCTCCTTGGATCAGTACCTGTAATAAGTGAGGAATGAAATTCCACATAACTCCTCCACAGACAAAGAAACCAGATGAAGGAGTGTACCAATATTCTGAACACAACAGGCATGCCATACTCTCTGCAGATAGTCTCTTTTCCCTGGCCATTATAGGCACCAGAGACAGGACTCCTGCAATGTTAGAACTGGGTTACTCTATAACTGAGAGGTCTTCCCAAGATATCCTTAGTAGATAAAGCAATTTATGTGGTCAAAATAGATTTTGAATTTCCTTATACATCTCTGATTTATTCAATGTTTTTTTTCATCAAAAAGGTGCTGAATATGTGCAGAAATTATAAAGAGGGGCACTGGAGTGAATTTGTTGACCCGGTCTTTGAGATCCTGTATAGAGTCACAGTCTCTTTGTCCAATCAACTTGTTTGTTCTAACTATAAATCTACCAAGTCTGTCTTCTTCTGTGTGTGCTTGTCTGTCTTGTTCTCTCTATTCTCTCTTTCCTCCAAATTGCTAGCATTCACCTGCTTTTTCTCTCTCTACAGCTCAGCAGCCCACATGAAGGTGAAAAAATATGTTCGTATTAAGAACTGGGAGACAGGAGAGTCTCTGTATGACACTCTACACATGCGAACTGACAAGGTGCGCAAAATTCTTTTTTCAATTAGAAAGGCGTAACGAAGTGAGAAAGAATGGTGAAGAAAATTACAAAAAATTAAGTTTAACATAAAAACAACTTGTGGTTTGGCCCCGTCATTGCTGCTGCTTCTGCTGAAATTTTGTCAATATGGCTGGGGTTTCACATTTCAATCTTTCTCTGTGTGCCACAGGACTCACCCTGCGGGGGGCGCCGGTGCCTTGGATCAGTCATGTATCCCCCGGAACTGGTAAACAGACCCCCTGAACTGCCCAAGGACCCAAGAATCTTGCTACAACAGGCCACCGAGTTCATCAATCAGTACTACAGCTCCATCAAACGGTGAGGGGGAAAGGACTGGCTTAGGAGAGCAGGAAGGGGGAAAGGAAACATGTTTTTTTCCTCTAAAACTAATGTATTGGAATAAACTTATTCTTCTTTTTACGAATTCCATTTTGTAAGTTGTGTTGATTACCATCCAGAATTCCAAGTAGTTTTTTTTTTTACATTTTAAACCCCTATAGTCCTTGACAAAAAAGCACTTTGAATCTGAAAATCAGAAAAATCTGTAGATGATGAAAGGAGGATGAAAGAGTTATACAGTTACTCTTTGGTAATGCTATAGTTCTGATGCCTGTTATAGCATCATGTGCAGTGACTTCTGTAGGCTGTGTGTTCGGCAGGTTCCAGACTGATGCCCACCAACAGAGGCTGCGTGCAGTAGAGAAGGAGATTGCCTCCATGGAGACTTATCACCTGGAAGAGACAGAACTGATCTTTGGTGCCAAACAGGCCTGGAGAAATGCAGCTCGCTGTGTGGGACGCATTCAGTGGTCTAAACTGCAGGTGAGGGGGACCAGAGAAAGCATACAGGGAAAGACAGCGAAGGAGGTTGTGGAGAGCAGAATGGGTCAGGGGGAATGTTGGAGAGGGAATACAGTATAAGGAAAATGAAGGAATGAATGTCAGTGTCAGTAACAGGATAACAGCACTGGATCCCTCAACTGTGACTTACTGAATGGCCTAAGAAGCTGGTTTAATTCACATTAAAACACTTCTTCAAATGTGTCCTCTTTACCTATTGATCATGCCTCCAAGAGAACTGCTCCTGTGCTAGAACTTTCCTTGCTGCTCAAACCCATGGCCGCACACACCAGTAATCACTTGGTTTTTCACAACCCACACATTTCCTGTCCAGGCCAGCTGAAGTAAACTGTTAAGAACAGAAAAAGGCAGGAGGGAGCATGCCGGTTGTCGGATGACAGCTGATGGGTGTCTTGGCTCGTTGTGTGTGGCCCTTCTTAACCTTTCAGGGCCTGCTTTACATCTCCTGCTGCTCATGCCGTCACTCATAAACACAGAAACATACACACGCTCCCAGCATGTCTGCCACAGTACTGTTTCTGCACCCACCCTGTCTGGGGAGGGTCTAGCATTTAGTGATATAACTTAACAATTTTTCTGTCTTGTCCTTGATGTAGAAAAAAGAAAGGTTTTAAGATTACCAATGTAACCATTTGTGACCTTTTGGACCATGAACATAAACATTTTATTACAATATATTTTTTGTGCATTTTTTAGGTAGTGTGTAGCATACTTGGTAAAAAAGCCTTGTCATTTTTGAGGTTCAGTTTTACTGGATATTAACATTTACAGAGAAAGGGATTTCTTCCGATTTGGGTTTGTGAGTGCATGTTTCAGTGGCCTATCTAATTCTGGTCTGGTGATGCCATGTGGTGTCTATTTAGGTGTTTGATGCTCGGGATTGCACAGGTGCTGCTGAGATGTTCAATTACATCTGCAACCACATCAAATATGGTACCAACAAGGGCAACCTCAGGTTAGTCCATCTTCCTCCCTGATTGTCCTCCACTGTCCTCTCCAGATTCCAAGGTCCTATCTCAAGCTCTATGTTTGCTGTCCTACCCCTTGTTAAGAATAGACGTTCTGATCAGGCCCTTTTTGGACTTTTTTACTAGCAAAGTCTCTTAGATAGTTAATAGTTCACCTAACGATTCTCAGAGAATCGTTAGTACTAGTCTAACATAACATTGATATTGCTTGGTAATCCTTACAATTCCTAATCTCCTAGGATAGGACAGAAGTTTCCTGTACTGATCATCCTCAATTATTCTGGTTCAGGACCATACATTTTGTCTGTCTTACGTAATTTTTGTTCTTCGTCAAGAAATAGTTACTTGTGTTAATCATCAAGGGGCAGAATAATTAAAGACCTGACTGTATCCACACCCTGCACTGGAATAGAAGTATAAGTCTGGTATGTTTGCAGCCCTTTTGCAGGTACCTATCAGAAGTCACATGATCTGTCAAGTTGTCAACTGCAATGCATGTGTAGACTGTGTTTAATTTGAAAACGTGTACGCCAACTGGAAATTCCAGACGCTGACAAGCAAAAGTTCCACGTCTCAATCAAAAATGTTTAAAGATTCTTGGTTTAAGAAACACTGGGTATTCTTTGCTATTCATTTCACGTGGAATGAAAAAAAAGTTACTTCCCGGTTGATTGACACAGTTATTGGGAGGCAGAGAAATTGACACTGTCAGTCGCTCATCTTTTTTTTCCTGCTCTCTATCTCCTTTCCCCTTAGCATGAGAAAGGGTCTCTCAGCCTGGTTTTCTTCAGGTCCTTTCCTACTGTCTGCATTCCTTAAACAAAATTCAGAGAACCTCCCAAGTGGCTCAACCAATTAAAACTCAGGCATGAGCCCAATGAGTTGTAAGAGACGCCAGTGATTTAATGCTTACCATGGGTACCTGACCCCTCCGCAGGTCAGCCATCACAGTGTTCCCTCAGAGAATACAGGGTCAGGGTGACTTCCGTCTCTGGAACCCGCAGCTGATCCGGTATGCTGGCTACAGCCAACCAGATGGGTCCGTCATCGGAGATCCTGCCAACGTGGAGCTCACCGAGGTCAGCTGTTTGCTTCTACTGTTTCTGATAAACATACACAAAGTACAACCTCTACTACTGCTATATGCATACAATATGTGATTGCCACTGTTCATGTTGCTACTGTGTACACACCACGACAATGAGAAGACAAGTAGAATGTTTTCTATTATATGTAATAGGAACAATGCAACTATTGCAAGTTTTAAAGACCTAGAAACTATGACATTATTCTCTTTTTGAGTGGCAAAGCTGACACCATCAAAGGACCAACCTTGAGCTATAGCCAAGTAGAGCTGTAGTTGTTGTTCACATTGCAAAGAATTACATCGGAGGCATCAGTCTATTTTGGCCTTTTTGCAGATAATGTCACAAGAGCAAATGGCAACCCAAAGTCAAAAGGCACCAGAACTCTGTGTCATCCATAAGGTTCCCACTTCCCCCATTACAGGAACACTCTCTATGGCAAGGGCAAAAAATCCCCTTGCTAGAAACACTGCATTTGAATGAAAGGACATTCAGCCTGCTTGGGGACAGAAGCAGCTCAGATAAAAGGAGAAGGAATATTTGTTGAGGAAATGCAACACAAAATGAGAAAACTAGAAGGTGAATCAAACTTTTGAAGGGAAAATTGCTTCTTTCATAATCTAGTCTTTGAACACTTGCCAGAGGAAACAGTATAGTGTAATATGTCACAACTGTTACGTGGAACCATTTCCCCCTCCTGTCTTCCTCTTCAGCTGTGTGTGCAGATGGGGTGGCAGCCACAGGGGGGGCGTTTTGATGTGCTGCCGCTGATCCTGCAGGCCCGGGGGGAGCCTCCCAAGCTCTTCCCAATACCCCCTGAGCTCGTCTTAGAGGTGCCCATCACTCACCCGACGTGAGTTGCCTCCAATAAATCTTCATAGACCTGCAAAGTGTTATACTAAATCCTGTATCTCTGTGTAGTTTCCTGCTTCCCCTGTACTAGTGCTACACAACAGCTGAGAAGTTTGTTTCTCATACTGGTACTAATGTACTGGTGGGATACTGGGCAAATCAATGGTGTCTGGGATACTTAGTTTAGCTTTGTTCCACTTCTGTTCTGACTGTTCCCTCTGTGTGCCAGGTTCTCCTGGTTTGCAGAACTGGACTTGCGCTGGTATGCTCTGCCTGCTGTGGCCAATATGATGCTGGAGATTGGGGGGCTGGAGTTCACTGCTGTACCCTTCAACGGCTGGTATATGGGCTCTGAGATTGGAGTCAGGAATTTCTGTGACACCTATAGATACAACATCCTGGAGGTATGGCACCAGCGAGTATCCTGCCCTGACATTGTCACATACACATTCCTTATTTAATCAGTTTACCCTTCAAAGCAGTTCTGTTGCCTGCAGTTCCAAGCAGGACTGCAAGTACAAAATGAAGGCGATTTTGGTGGGGACTGGTATGGAACCTTTGTTGTGTAAATACATAATTACATTATGAGGAACTCTGTGAAACAATGCAGATTTCTTACTTTTTAATGAAATATGCTGAAAATCAACCTATCAAAACTAGATGTACATGAAAGGTGACCCATGCATTTACAAGACCTGAACAGTTGTTTGTTTTAATTGATTAAATTAATTTAGCATCATATTTAATTTTGTTAATTGTCTAAGTACCAATTTCCCCTTGCCTCAATTAATGAATTCATTAATGATTTCTTTTGTTATTCTTTATTATATATAGCAATAGCGATTTTAAAATCAATTATCTCAAAGTGAGTGGATAAAAAGCATGGGTTTCATGGCCCTGATAAAATAACCTGCATGGTAAACTGTCCTAAAAGAAATGCAAACACATTATTTAATCATGTCCTCAGTGATCTAGGTTGTGAGTGTTGGAAGTTGTTTCAGTGGCTGCTGTCCACCTCCTGAGTGTATGAGATCTGTAGCTCAATGCAATATCCCCAAGTTGCAAGAGTTGTAAATGTCCTACCTGCTTGCTTTCACTCCCCTTGACTTAGCTCCTCCCCACTGCCAGACACCCCCAAATCTTGGTGTAATGTGGGCTCTTGGCTTTGCAGCACAAGCTTTTTCAGCATGCAATGCCTGCTAAAGTGTTAGAGAATACTTTTTCTTTACAAACTCATAGTGTTTCTGTACAAGATGTATTAGGTTTAGTAGACTTTGAACATATTGTTTTAACTGATGTATATACAGCTGAGTTATTCAAATTGCCCAAAGGATATCACACAAACAAGATGAGGAGAATACACGGAAATACAACGGAAATCGCATTAAAAAAAATGTCTTCAAGTTCCATTAAACTCACAAAGAAGTCTTTAATGTTCTTTGTTTAGATGTTTACTTTTTACTGCCAAGCTAAATAACAAACAAGTTCAACTAGGGTGGTTGGAGTCACCTCATTCTGTAGGCAAAGACAGACCATTTTACGTTTATGAAATCTATTGCAATGAAGGCAGAAATTAGTGCAGTCCTTGCAATCACAAGCATTATCCTTTAGGTTTTACCCTTCTTGCTGTTACTAAATCTAAACAAAATATCAATTGGCTTTCTGCCCATCATTATGAAGATGTTTTTCTCATCAAAGGTTCTGCTTGTTTGGTCTCCATTACATAACCAGGTCCATGCGCACTATTTTGCATTTCAGGAATGCTACGATCTCTTGAATTATTAGTGTCTGAAAACCCTTTCATTTAAAATAACAAAAGGAGCTTGCTTTTAAAATGCTATGCCTCTCTGATAGGCTGAAGGTACTCTACAGTCTGAATTATTGATCAATAAATTAGGCTGAGCACTGTCCTATTTTAATCCATGTGATGAATATGTGAACATCTATTTCTGACACAACTAATATGCAAGTGACATTTATTTAATTATTTAAACCATTAAGGAAAGCAGCGAACCAACTTGTATACTTAGCAGTTTTGTGTGTGTGTGTTTTGTTTATTTCTGTAGGAGGTGGGACAAAGGATGGGGCTAGATACCAGAAAGACTTCATCACTGTGGAAGGACAAAGCCGTGGTAGAGATAAACATTGCTGTGCTGCACAGCTACCAGGTAATCCAAACTGACCATACCTAGCCACATTTGTGAAACCAGATTATCCGGTTCTTTCAGAAAATGTCTGGAGGAATATCGGATCAATCAGCTAGTAACAACCAAGTTAGATAAGAGAAAGAGTTAGATAAGACACATGACTTCTTCTCTTTTGTAATCTTGTGTTTTAACATTGATAACCAGCATAAATAATTAATGTAGGTAGTAAACCAGGTGATCTATAGTGACAGCCATTAAAGCTATCAGTTATCAACACTAACACCCACTATTGCTATTATGAGTCTAGACAGACACCCAGCACTGCAACCAGGTAATCCACATTAACATCAAACACAGCTGCCAGGATATCTCTACAGATACTCAACTCAGTCGGGGGTAAATGTTGAAAGTCACATGGCCAGGTGAGACATTCCAGAAGGATGCTCTAGATTTTAAGATGCACAAAAAATATGAAATTTATTATAAAAAATAATAAATCAAGACTTCTTAACAGCATTTCTTAGGAACCTGTTTAACCAGAAGTATTCCTTGCCTCACCCCAACATCTTTCTTAGTATTTATAAACACTTATACTCTGTAATGAAACTACTGTATGTCCCCAAAGGTCATTCTCACTTAAACATTTCTCAAATTTGTCTTAACAAATGGAATAATATACAATAGAAATCAAAGTACATTAAGTTGATAATCATTGTGACAAAGAGCTGTATCATGTTTTTGTTATTAAGACCTGTCAAGAGAAGGCATCTTATAGTTTCTACATTTTATCTTATCCAAGCTTCTATTAGCCTTTTAATTACTAGGACAACACCTGAATCTTTTACCCCTAAACTTCATAACTGATGGTGTGCAATTCTGCTTTGTGTGTTTCTTAAAACAGCTGTGTCATTGAGATCTGTTTGTGTTTGCTTCTGCCTGCCTGTGTGTGTATGTGAGTATAGCAGGCAAAGGTGACGATCGTCGATCACCATGCAGCCACAGAGTCTTTCATGAAACACTTGGACAATGAATACCGAGCACGAGGGGGCTGCCCATCTGACTGGGTGTGGATTGTTCCACCGATATCTGGCAGTCTTACGCCTGCCTTCCACCAGGAGTTGCTCAACTATGTCTTGTCACCTTGTTTTCTGTACCAGGTACTGCACTCCTGATGGAGCAAAACATCCTTCTTAAACTCTACAGCATGTAGTGTTCTTAAACACATCATTAATCGTTGATGATGCCTTTTCTGTCATACGAAAATATAACTAGTAGCATTTAAAATAAAAGAGGAACCTTTGACTCAACTTCAAGACGTTTAAAACAGTCTTGCAACTCACATACTTAAAATGTGACTATTCTATGATTTGTACTCATTATAGAATGCTGCTTTTTAGAATTCATGCATCATTTCATGTTCATTTGTAGAATAACAGAAGTTAGAAAAGTAGTGTCTACGTGACAGAGAGCTGATTAAAAATTACACTGGTCTGTATGGCACCAGGATTGTTACCTATCCAGAAACAATTCCTACTGTGTAAAACATAAGATCTGATCACAGAATTCAATTTGCAGAATCCTTGAGATGCCCCAATAAGACCAAGTATGTCTTCACACAAAAAAGGGGGTCTAGTTAAGACTTGATGGATCTCATTGCAGCCACTGGCCAGTTTTATTCTGACTTGCTGGTCTGGCTCCATAAAGGCATAGTGATGACAGAGGATGTTGGCATGCAGCATTCCATTTGTATTTCCATTACATTGTTTTATATATGTCCTTATATACAGCACCAGTGCTACAAAACAAATACATTTAGACACAAAATGTCCCTTCTTCTATAATCTTCTCATGTGAACAGCTCATAAGAGTAAAGAAAGTCTGCAACACCATTCAACAGATAGTCCATATCAAAACAGAGGAAGAAAGTGAACTCAAAGGTTTAAGCTACTTTTTAGTTTTTGATTAAAATGAAAATTGTAATTGAGAAATTTGGATTTTTGATTTGGATTTTTCACATAGACAGGGCTTGGATTAAATCCAGTAAAGTTAAAAATAGCCATATCCTGATTCCGTGCCTTTTGTACTATGTTGCAGTCTAATGTTAATTTCCATATTGCAAACGCTAGACAGTGTTAACGGAACACTTGATATTTTATGGTCTCCCAGTCTTCAGTGCTATTAATCTTGAAGTTACTCCCATAAAAATTACCTACATCACATTTTCCTTTTTTTGTTTGATCTCCTGTTCTTAAGTGATTTGGTGACTGTGACTCTAAATGACACATTGTGCATCTCTTGCTGCAGGATGACGACTTAAATTCAGGAACTGCTGTACAAGCTGAATGTTGTCCTTTCCTTCACCTCATCTCTTTTTTCTTTGTCCTTTTTTCAGGTAGATCCCTGGAAACTGCCTGGCTTCAGCGCTAAGAAGAAAATCAGCTTCAAAGAGGTGGCAGAGTAAGGCAGGGTCTCATTTGTTGATGCTACTGCTGAGTTTCCTTCAGTACTAGATGTACACCAAAACTAAATTAAAGTGATTTTTTCTATGCAGTTTCCTTGAAGCAACTCTATAGGCATGCACTTGGGAACATAAAATCCACTGTAACCGAAATGGGCATTCCCTATGATATTTAGTGTCTTTAATCTATCATTCGGTGTTGCAGGGAATGATGACCCTTTCTTTGTCAGGATTTTGCAAATCAGTTGTTTTCTAAGCTACTCAAAAAAGGCCTGAATTAATTATTTTTCTCTTGTGTTAATTAAAGACTACAAATAAGTTATTAAGAATATTTGTACAGGTCCCCAAATAATGGTAAAATGACTGTGTGAAGTAAGTTCAGATGAATGAATTTACAATGCTGGATATAAAATACTAGACAGGACAGTGATCTTGTTGTACTGTTTTCTCGTGTGACTACCTAGAGAGCACCAGGTCTTTAGAGCAGTGTTGCTCTGATCTGCAGCCCCCGAATGCTGATATGAGTATGCCTGCGTGTCTTTGTGTTGTAGAGCGGTAAAGTTCTCTGCCTCTCTGATGGGTCAAGCCATGGCCAGAAGAGTGAAAGCACGGATCCTGTATGCCACAGAGACCGGCCGCTCACAGACCTATGCCAACAAGCTGTGTGACATTTTCAAAAGAGCCTTTGACCCCAAGGTACAGACTGGGAATCGCTTTAGACCCGTATCTAGGGAAGTGGGTATAACAAAAAAGAATGCACCATTGGAACACAAACTGTACTTACAGGGGTTTCCTTAAAGCTACTGTAGCTGTAGACTACTACAGTAGCTGTGGCTACTGTTCCTTAGAAAACTTTGTAAGAAATAAGTACAAGTCTTATAATCACATGTGTTAGTAACCTACTAAGAGCATTTAAAAAAACAAGGATCTGCTCTGTGTTAAAGTAGGACTGGTGATTTGCTTTGTCTCCTGCTCCTGCTTATCCTAGGTCACTAAAAACATCAGTGGCCAATTATTACATAACCGGTCATTCTGTATTAATAGCTCATACGTGGGATTAGTGAATTTGTGTAGTTTATAGCCTTACAAAAGCTATTTTCTGTTCGTTTCATGTTTTTTTCCAGTATAAATACAGGCAACTTCATTTGAATTTACCAGCTCTAACTTCACCATTACTGCATTGCCTAATCCTTTTCATTTTTCTGATTTGACCCATGAACTTTACTCTGAGTCAGTCAAAATGGAAAGAGATGAAAAGATGAAGGATTTACAGTAACGGCCTATATTTCATCTGGTAAAATGCAATAACTGCCAATATGTTATGCAAGGAGGAGCCCATTTCCTAATGAAATAGTTGGGTCTGTAGAGCTATTGTGCGAAGATGTTGCCTCTCTGCTTAAGTCAATAAGCATTTCAAAATAAGTTGATTGCAGAAAAGTAAAAGGAACTAGATGGGACAAAATATTTCCTCTTCCATTTTCTTACAAAAGCAAAGTCCCTGAAATTTATGAAAACCCCTTGTTCTTGAGTTCTGTTTGTGTTCCATCAGAAGTAAAGTTTCAGTGAATTGAACAAAGGAAGCATTCTTTCTCTTTACAGAGTAGGGAAGAGTTTAAAGGCTTTGTTGACTGAGGCTGCCAAGCACTGGTCCAGAAGTAGAGTCTGGATTGACTTCAGATTTTCAGAAGTTGTTTCCTTACAGCAGTCAGAATGCTTCTCTGCCTCAGTGGTCAGTGTGTGATTCATTGCAGGTTGTGTGTATGGATGATTACGACATTGTCAACCTGGAGCACGAGAACTTAGTCCTGGTGGTGACGAGCACCTTTGGGAATGGAGACCCTCCTGAGAATGGCGAGGTAATCACACCAGAGCAAAAGAATGGCAGACTACTCTCTATGCAGCTGCTCTTGTCTAATAACAAAACGAGTCCATACTCTTAAAAACTGGCAAGGATAGGCTGCCTCGGCACTTTCATCTCATAGCAGAACTTCAGTCCATCCAATACTTTAACTTCACTGATGCTAAATTATTTAAATGGACACTAATGCTTAAAGTCAGTAATTAAGAATTGAAACAAACCTGTCATAATCCATTTAAAGATCTTTTCAAAGTAAATTCAAAGTTTTGAGCTTTTATTAATTGATATTTTGCTCCTTTCTTTAAGCAGCAGGAGATATTCTGTGAATATTGCTTATTTAGACCACATTAACAAGCATACATTTCATTCTGTCTCTAGGTTTCACAGTGTCAGATTATCTTTAAAATAACTCACTAAAAAACTGGACTTAACCACAGAAACCTGACTCTGTGAGAGCAAATTTGTTTGATTTGATCTGTATTTTGTCTCTGTATTTGTGTATCTGGGACAGATACGGGCTTGTGTGCCTTCACTGTGGTGACTCTCTTAGCAGTGTACTGATTCTGGCTCCTTTCTCATTGTTTAAAATTCTTTGAGCCATACACATGAATAATGTCCCAACATAATGTTTACTGCACTTTAGGAAAAGGAAAACAAGCTTCTAATGATATAAACTCAAAGAGAAACAGTCCACAGGGACTCTTGAATGTTACAGTACCTTGAGCATTTATGGTAAGGGACATTTAGCTACTGCAAGTATATTTAAAATCATATAAACTTAGTATAATAGTAGTAAATGTTGCTGTTGGGTGGCCAGTTTCACAAGTTTACTCTAAATGTTTTACAACATCTTTTATTGTTTAAGCTCCCCTATTTTGATTTACAAATTATTTTAATCTTGTATCTCTTGTAGTGTTGGTTGTGCCAGTAAGAGGGAGATAAAGACCATTTCCTCTAAAATGAGTGCTTGTCAGAGCCATTTGCTATTTTTTCACATTGTGAGTCCTGTGAAGCAAACAGAAGTGTAGTACATAGTGAGCATACATAGTAACACATAATGAGTTTACAGAGAAGGAAATGTAATCTGGGTAAATAATGAAGCTCAGATTGACAATGTTGGAATTTCAGCAAGTCAAAGGTGTCCTGTCCAGGCGGATATGACTCTCTACAACTCTTGGTACAGTATGTCCTTTGAAGGAGCATCTGTATTCAGAAAATTAGAATCCCCAGAGTACATTTTTGTGAACAAAAGCAGTCTGTATTGCTTGATATATTGTTAAATAGTCATTAATGTGTAACAGATGCTTTTCTTAACTCCAGAAATTTATCAAAGCACTGATGGAGATGACACATCCAACCTCTCCAGAGCCTCAGCAGAAGAGGTGTGTATCTGAGTGGACATTCCTTCATTTTTTTCACTTAATCAATTAAGGGTCCCAGGGAAAAATAACAAACCCTTCAGCACAAGTCTGGCAATAAGTAAACCCAAAGCTCTCACAAAGTGTCATTATGGTAGATGCTTTTAAAATTTTATAGATAATATGAGCATTATTCACAGTCAGGCTTGTAGTGGACTTGAAGTGGACTTATCCAGATTTTCTGTTGACTCAGACGCATCACAGATAAAGACTGCTCTGCAGTACCATGCATCATTTGAATATAAGTCTTTCAACCTTCAGTAACTCAGCCTACAGGAAGACGTTTTCTAAAATATTGGTCTATTGCCAGTCTATTGGACTGATGTGCCATCAAGGGTTTCTCCCTCCTTGTGCCCGTCGTCTGCTGGGTTAGACTCCAAACCACAGGGACACTGAATTGGACTGTTGAAAATGGACGATTGACATATTCCATATTTGTGACTCGGAAGGAATATTGAGGAAAACAAATATTCTATACACAATCATATACATAAAGTCTCTAGCCTACTGTAGGTTAAACATTGTATGTTTTTCTACTTCATTAAATTAATTAAATTAAGTTGCCAATTAATTAATAAATCAAAACATACCTAATTTCAAACATGCAAATAGACTGTACCATATTAATATGAAATAAATACAAATTGCTAGAAAGACAGAACATCACGGGAAGTGTAGCTAATAATAATAGTAATAAGAATGTTATTTATGTTAAATAAAATGTTATATTTTATTAATACAGAGAAACATTAGGCTACAAAGGAATCCAAAGATAAACTGCAGCCCCTTGATGTCTGTAAATTAGATCCTTATCAAATGATATTTCTTGAAAATGTATCTGTCAACCTGAACAAGTTGAACACCCCTGTTTCCTACTATGATGAGGTACTGTGTCTTAAATGTATCCTGTTTCACTTTCCTGTGCTGTTGTATTGGCAGGAGCTACAAGGTTCGCTTCAACAGCCTGTCCAATGTGGATGACTTAGTGGAGTCCAACAAGAGAACGTTCAGCTTGTCCAGTGCCACAGACAGTGCTGGCCCACTGGGGACACTGAGGTACTACACTGACACACTGCATGCTGAGTTTTTGGATGTCGGCCCAACACATTGCTGTTAAAGCAAAATCAGTTAGAAAGGGTTCATTTCCTCATGCTGCTGTTGAGTTCATAATGTTTTGTGTTATATTTTGGGGAGGGTCCTTGTCTGTACATTTGTGCTGCCTACACTGGAAACTGACACATTTGAACAAAACATGAATTTAATGTTATTAAAAATGCACCTTTAAATGTGTGCATCACTATTGTGAGTTTTATAATCCCTGACTGATAAAGCAGCTTGACAATGCTACAAGATGACAGAATTTCAGCAAGTCAAAGGTGTCCTGTCCAGGTGGATATGAGTCTCTACGACTCTTGGTATGTACTTTGAAGGAGCATCTGTAATGAGCTGATTGGAATCCCCAGAGTACATTTATGTGAACAAAAACAGTCTATTGCTTGAAACTGGATTTTGTTAAATAGCCATTCATGTGTAACAGATGTTTTTCTTACCTCCAGAAATGTATCAAAGCACTGATGGAGATGATTCTCCATTGATTCTGGTCCTGTTTTGCCTGTGTATCTCGTATATTAAAGTCATAAAAAATTATAATAGTAAAAAATGATTACATATTGAAATGAAAAGACAAGCTAGACATTCTCACAATCACATGCATACAGTATGTAAACTAACTTTATATGTAGCAAACAGAATTCAAAAAGAGATGCTCATGGAAGGCTCAATAGCGAAAGTTCAAAGTTCAAAGGGGAGTTCAAAGAGTAAGGAGTTAAAGTTGACAGTGTGGTCATCAAAAGGACTGATTTAAAGCATTTAGCTAAGGAGAGGAACTGAAAAAGATTATGAGCTGGATGAGAGAAGTCTGAAATAATCTTGCAAGCTGTGGCTTGTGTTAAATGATAAAATGTAAGTGAGTTCACAACCTATTATTTTTGAGGCTTTGGACACAATCCTTTCCAGTTTTCTTTTTGTATGGGTGTCCTAATTCCCATATCAAACGATGATGGAAGCTGTCAAAATATTTTGAATTATCAATGTATAAAATTGACAAAGAAGTTGCTGGTTCATTCCGTTTCTTAAATTGCCTGAGAAAGTACATCCTCTTCTGTGCCTTCTTAACTGAACTATATGATCTACAGTATATGAACTATGTGTTAGTGATTTATCAATCATCAATATTGAAATGATTTCTACAGTTTTTGATGCATTGAGTGTGTAGCATTTATCTAGATGCACATGGATTTTCAGAACACCAGGTTGTTCTCCTGCTGTTATGGAAGCTCATCATTTTCAGAGATAAAGCCAACAATAGCAGTATCATCTGCTTATTTAAATAATCTTAACCCAATCAACACAAGATGTGAAGTTGTTTGTGAAAAGGGAGAAAAGACACAGAGATAGGACACAGCCCTGGGAAGCAAAATATTGCCTGTTATTTGCCTTGAGAGTTTGTTGTCAACATTTCAGAAAGTCCAGAATATTATAATGCCTAATGGTTTTGAAGGTGGAACTACAATCCAAATAAGGATGCGAGCATAGGAATTTGACTTCTTTAGATACTGGAGTGTACAGTGGAGAGCCTGGCACATGCTTTTGCCAGAGATGCTATTTATTAGTCAAAAATCTCACCTGCTTAGTTACACATGTCTGATATAACAAAACTTTTAACCTTATTACCAACTTGAGTAAACATGTTTTCGTCTCTGTGGCAGAGAAGGCAGAGGAACCCACAGCCACAAATAAATACATTAGAGCTAGCTTTATAAGTGTGGGACACCTATGGAACTTGACAAGTAGAGTTGGTTTCTAAAAGTTACAGTTGAATTCCGACACCAGCAAATCAAAAGAATGACTCTCAAATCGACCCAGATATTGATGTGAGAAAACAAAAACATCTAAAAAATGTGACCAGGTAACAAGACACCTAGTGCGTCTGGTAAGGAAAATGTCAGTACTGTGTTAAATTCTCAAATTGCTGCCGACTATCTGCCATCCCCAAACAATTGGAGACAATCACATACAGTACCTTTCTCACAGAGTCTGTAAGATCACTCTGTGGCCCACACACCTGCAAAAAAACACCAGAAAACATACTTTCTACTTTTCACAAACACATAGACAGCAATCAACTATCCTTCCCTCCTTGCGGAGACACTGACAGCTCTTTAGTCAAATCTGTTCATAATATTTAGGTTACCAAAGTTATTGCTGGCTATTTTTTAAGAGTCGACCTCCATTAGGGGGTTGTTCAGTTTCGTTTCCTCCTGGTTGTCTGTTGCCAACAAGGCCTTAAGAAAAATAAGATTCACTATTCACTAGATTGAAGAAGGCAGCTTCTACAAACAAAAACAGGCCTGTCAGTGTTTTATTTTAGCATTCATAGTCGCTAGGGAACTACGAACTCATTCCAAGGATGCTATGCTTGAAAGGAGCCTGTATAATATCCATCACTGCATTCTGAAGATTCATAGAGGTCTACGTTAACACTCTGGACTTAAAATAGCTGCATATAAGCCTAAAAATGTCTCATTCAAAACGTAACCTTTCAGTATGATAGTTTTATATGGGAAATGATTAAACTGTGTGACATTCATCATCAAGTATCATTCATCTTGCCAGACACTTAGGTGCTGCAATAAATCTACTATGAACTCATAAGAATATATATTTGTAGCTAACGTCTACTTGAAACTAATGGTCAGTTTTTTATAAGAGTGTGTATTTTAAAATTCAGACCACCGGAGCTCAGCTGTAACAACAACATTTACTGTTTTATTTACATGAAAACATGTTAATAAAAGTTAAAGATAATAATAATGATGACGATCATTCTTGGCATTTATACAGAGGGTCTCAGTCCACAGGTTGACAGATTGCTATACCTATACCATAGTAGATCTGAAGCATCCATCTGGCTGACATGTATCAGCCATAATGCTCTAGGAGCCTCACTGCACACAGATCCTGTGGAGAAGTAAACGTTTCATGAGGAAATTTAAATTAAGAGAGTTAGGAAGAATAGATTGTGCAAGCCCAGAGTGGAATTCAGCCAAGACACAAGGATGAGACCTTTACTCTTAAAACTGCAACATTTTAAACAAGATCTTTAATCCTCAAGCAGTCAGGACCTCAGTTTGTTATTTCATACTGTGTTATAAGAGGTACCATCCACTTTGTCTTGGTCACCATGCTTTGGTTTGGAATTTCTGGTTCAGAGGAGACAGTGCCACATTGTGGTTCACCAACCTCACTTCCAGTAGCAATCTGGATTTCCTTAGAAGTATCCCATCCCTGTGCTGACCTAGAAAAGCCTTGTTTAGCTGTCAACTGAAAGAACTACAGTCCATCTACTCACCTAAAGCTGAGTTTTGCTCAAAATCAGAAACGGTAATGAATCTAGAGAATGCACAGAAAATACAGTATCTTTGCTGTGACACTAGCAGATTTCTGCATATTAGTTCTGCTGTGCTCCTTGTATACCAAGGAGTTTAGAAAACAAGATTTTAGATGTATTTATATATTTTACACAATTCAGTTTTTAAAACTTTCTGTCCAGATACTGCACCCAGAATAGGGGAAAACCACAGTGAAGGTGTAAAATAATGTAAATTTACCAAAGTAATTGCTCCAGAGGGTGGTTTTCCTGGACTGACTGCCAGCCAGTTCTTCAGCAGTGCTTCTGTGTATAAGATAAGATCACTTTATTGGTCATATAGAATTTCTTGTACTAGGAATTTGTCTTTTCGCAGACCCCAACTTGCTCTCCATGAGACACACAGACAGGGAGAGGAGCTTGGGGTCAGAGAGCAGGGTTGGCCATTTTTGTGGTGCCTCTGGAGCAGTTGGGGTTAAGGGCCTTGCTCAGGGGCCCAACGGAGTAGGATTCCTTTGCCGGCTGCGGGACACAAGCCGGCAACCTTCCAGCCACAGGCGCAGATCCTTAGCCACAGTGCCACATAACCAGGCAACCCTGCCTGGTTATGTTAGCTGACAATACATGCGCCCGCAGGTTCTCCGTCTTTGGGCTGGGCTCCCGGGCGTACTCGCACTTCTGCGCCTTCGCCCATGCAGTGGACACGCGCTTTGAGGAGCTGGGCGGAGAGCGCATCCTGGACATGGGGGAGGGAGACGAGCTCTGTGGCCAAGAGGAGTCCTTCAGGACCTGGGCCAGGAAGGTTTTCAAGGTGAGCTAACATCCGACTCGGATTATGATTTGATCTGTAATCTCATCCTCTGACCAAAGAGCTACAACACGTGTGATTGTAGCATTCAGATCCACCTCCCGGGTTTTCTTTCATCCAGATAAAAAAATATAAGTATTAAAAATAGCTTGGCTTTCTGACAATTTCAAGGTTCTAAAATGTATTTGGAAAATAGCTTTTCAAAATAAAACTTTAATTGGTTGACAGCTTTGGTATTTACGCATTATCACTCTTAAAGGAATTTTAGTCAGGGTTGTGATGTTTCTAACATCTTTCTTAATTAAAGTTATGGGGCAGTAGACAGCAAAGCAGTATTAAAGCAAAAGCAGAGATAATGGCTTCTGCTATGTCACTCTCCAATCATTGAAGATTTTCAAGAATTGCATATTGATCACAATGAAGCATGAAAAAAGAAATGTACAGGCATCAAACATGCTTTTTTCTGTAACATTTCTAGTACATCATGCTTCATTAGCTGGGGCATTAACAATCGACCTAGTATTTGTGAAAGATTAAATTAAGGGCTGACCATTTCTTTATCTGCTCTATGTACATTAGTATCACTCAGATATAGAAAAATTGAACTATGTTGTCTTTTTAATTTTTTTATTAAAAAAATGTGAACAAATAATGACAGTGTGTCTGTCAATCTATGTCACTCTGAGACTGCCCATGTGTCTTTGCATGTGGAGGACTGTGAGCTCAATAAGAAGCAGGATATTATAGTGACAGCTCCACCGATGTGTCTGTGTGTATACAGGCTGCCTGTGAGACATTCTGTGTAGGGGAGGACTCCTTGGATGAGGATGAGGATGTCTTCTCCAGTGAGTGGCAGCCCAACAAATATAGGACTGTCTTTAAGGCCATACCCACTGATATCCCAACAGGTGAGCCAATTTCCTCACAAGCATCAGCCAATCAGCATTCAAAGCATAGATATACTGTACCTTAGTAACCTTAGTAATTACAAAGGGTTCCAGTAAATAAAGCAGTGTTTAACTTGCCATATTTATGTAATATGTTGAAGGTATTTTGTGGTGATTATAGATCACTGACTAAAACAAGATGTGCAAATCATTTCTGGATGGAACTCATTATCATCTTGATAAATATTATTAATCTCTATCTCAGTATGCAAAATTATCATGGCAAAAAAATACAATACAACAGACAATTAAATATAGCAGGTGTGTAAACCTAAGCAGGTTGTACATCTAAGCAAGTTATTTCATGTGAATTGTACTAGAAAAATAACTAGCTGTATGAAAAGGTTCAAATGTAGGTTGCTTTGGATAAAAGTGTCAGTCAAAAAATACATACAGTATACAGAATGCTACTGCTAAACCATTTTTGTCTTCTTGGTAATTTGTCTGGTTCAATATATGTATATTGTAGAACTTTCTGTGTATCCACTCTATTGTACACCTTGATTCATTCATGTTCAAACTAATTGTCAGAATGGTGTGTGCAGTATTTATTAAATGCACTGTAGGTCAGTTGCGACTCTTTAACCATTTAGTTTATTTTTGTATTGACACTGTTGCTCTCTTTTCCTAAGCCCTCTCAAATCTACACAAGAAGAAGCTGTTTCAGGCAAAGGTCATCTCCACACAGAATCTACAGAGTGAGAAGTCCAGGTAACACATTTCATATCCGAAAGGCATCATTCTTAAAGAGATTGTATGGACTTTGGGGAGTGCAATGACCATAGGACTGCCACTAGAGTTCACTAAACCTTCACTGATTACTTCCATTTTTAGTGGTTCAGCTTTAGTATACTATGGCACATGATAGAGTCTAAACTGGGATGTCAAATTTCCACATGGGATTAGTTAGTTGAATTTGTTATTATAGTTGCCCATCTTACAGTCAGGAGTTGAAGAAGTTTATGTTACCTCCATGGACATAGACACTTTCAATTATTTTATAAGGGGTTTTTATTAAGCAGGCATTTGGAGAGCCTAATATCATGCAAGGTTTTTTTAAGATCCATAAAACATGCAAAAATAATTCTCTGTTTTTTAATGGCTTTGTTTGTCCCGAACTTCTCCACTGCAGGCACACAGAAGCCAGGCAACACTTACAACACACAATTTCACTGTAGTTCTGTTTGGGGGTTGTGTTTTTCAGATGAAAAAGACTTTTGATAAATAAAATAAAAATAAAACCAGGAACCCTACTGTTTGCCATTCACATGCAGGAAGTATTTTCATGTATGAAAGCCTAAAAAAAGGACATTCTAAGACAGGGGATCTTCCAAATGTTGAACTGATAAAATGTAAATATAAAATATGACCTTCAGCTTAAAGTTAAGAGGTGGGAGACTAGTTTCTTTCATTTACTACCCACATCTGAGTAGAGTCTGTAACCGAGTCAAGATTAGGGGATCACAACCCCAGGTCCAGCAGGTTGTATAGGTTGCCATTAAATCATCAGTTTCTAAAGACTTGGAGAAATAAAAAAAAAAGTAAAGAGGTGATTTGTTAAATTATGAAGTATAGAGATCATTTGGAATATAAATCTGAAAAACAGGGACAAAAATTCCCCTAACTGAGCAAATTGATTGCTGAACTAATCAATTACTTACAAGTATTCCCAATCTTTAAAAAATTGATGATTTAGGATGACCTATAAGACAAACTGAATTGGTTCTGTTTAGGACTGGATGTTTATCTGGCCAGAGCTTATTTCAGTTGTTTGTTGTTTTTAGTGCTCAGCATACCAAGAATACATTATTCTCCATTAAAGCTCCAGGATGCTTTGATCTTGGCAGCATTGGTGCTCATTTGGAAAGCTGTGGTGACTGGAGCAACTGGGGCAAAGCACCTTGCTCAAAGATATCCCAAACAACCCAGTAATGAGTCCAGATCCCTCACCTACTTTAAACTGACCCCCAAAAATGGTGTTATTGTGAAAGGTGTTAGTCATTGTGTTTTAATTGTATTATGTGTTTATGCAGCCGGGCAACAGTGCTGGTGAAGCTGGACACTGGAGGTCTGGCCCAGATGAATTACCAGCCTGGTGACCACCTGGGCATCTATCCCACCAATCCTGAGCCCCTGGTCCAAGCTGTACTGGCCCGTGTATCTGATCCACCACCTATCAATGAAACAGTTGCCACGGAGATCCTAAAGGAGAGGAACGGTAACAATGGCTGGTGTTTTGGGAAGGGGCTATACTGTATATGTTTTACAAAGGGTTACACTATAACCTGTTTACTATAAGAAACTCATTGATTTACATGCTTCAGCATTCTATACAGAAATAAATATAAAGAAAAGTATCCTAAAACTATATTTTATGTGAAAAGCAATGCTAAAAATTCCAGGAACAATATATTAAGAAACATTTAAACATTCAATGCAATGAATTTAAATATGCATTCATAATTAATATGTATCGAACTATTTCATATTTATAATACAATTATATATGTCAGAAATGAAAAATATAAGTATGAATGTTGGTAAAAAAATTATTTTACTGTTTCCATTTCATTTTCATATACAGTATATTTATTTTCCACATTTATAATACTGCAACATACAGTCTGTATTGGGTGTGCAGTGGCACAGTACTTAGCATTGCTGCCTTGGAGCACTGGTGCCTTGGGTTCAATTCCTGAGGTGCTTTCTGTGTGGAGTTTATGTTCTCCCCATGTTCAGGTGGGTTTACCCCAGGTACAGTATTTGGATTTCTTCCCACAGTCCAAAGACATACAGTATCCTGGGTAGGTTAATTGGCTTCTAGGAAAATTGGTCCTTGTAACAATGTGTATTGTATGTGGCCTGCGATAGACTAGCATCCCATCAAGGGGTGTATCCTGCCTGTTGCCTGTTGCTTGCCAGGACAGGATCCGGCAACCCCACGTCACTGTATTAGATTAGAAAATGGATGGATGGACAGTATTGTGTGTGCTGATATAGCGCCCATTCCCTTGCAGGTCAGACGTCCTGGGTGCCTGGAGACAGGCTCCCTCCCTGCACCCTCGTGCAGGCCCTGTACCACCTGCTGGACCTCAGCAGCCCACCCACACCCCCTCTGCTGCGCCTCCTCTCCCTGCAAGCCACAGCCGAGCAAGACCGGCAGAGACTGGAGACCCTCAGCCAGGTGATCAGCCTTATTCTGTTCAATATGACATGATTATAATTAGATTTCTATATAACATTATAATACTATTTTAATATAGATGTATTAGATTTCCACTAGCTGTACAAATATTTATATTTCAATACATATCAATTTGTTAACAACATTGAATATATAAAATAAATATTACTGTTTATTACTTAATGATAGTTTTATTATTAGAATCTAGGATTACCTATTTATATTAAATTAACCATAAATATTTTTGTCCTTATTATAATGAGAGTTTTAATGTGTTGTTACAAATAGAGAATTACAGATAATAGACAGATGCGTTAATAGGTAAAAGTATCATAACCCCAAATTGTATACCCAAGAAGCACCTGAGTTCTTTGTTCAGTGGTGCAGCTTTGATATAAAGAGTAATAATTCAGGTACAATGGGTCAAACAAATATTTATTAACAATGTGAATACACACACTAGACAACACGTTACATAAACATACAACATACAAGTTACACTATGCTATTTTCACATTTACAAACAATGTGTCCCAGAGTTCTATGCTCTGACAACCCAACAAAAAAACAAACAGATTGCTACCAAGTATTCAAATCTTTTAATATAATACCTTCAAAAGCCAAGATAAGATAAAGCTTCCTTCTAAATCAATAAAATATAACCTAGAGTTTAAGCTCTCTCACCATAAATCCGGTTGCTACAAAGTGAATGGGAAACATATCTCCCTATTCTAAAAATGCACCCATTAACCAGGAGAGGCCATTTTTAGCTTGGGGATTCTCTATACAGGAAATCAGAGTTTCCTAAAAACAACCAAATAGCAGCTCTATTAACAAAACTCAAATACTTAACTTAAACTTAAAACTTAATATCTCCTGTCTTCTGTCTTCCTCTCATGTCCTCCTCTGTGTTTTTCCGTCTTTTCCTGTGTCCTCTCTGTCTTCTCTCTCTACCTGCCTGTGTGCTGTATTCCTGGATGGTTGATTGACACTTAATAATTTATCCAGAACTTAGTGTCAGGAACAGTTCTTTCCGGGCCCTATGCGGGCGACACGATCCAAAAGGTGAAGAAACAATAGGGAAAAATATCATGCAGGAGTCGGTCAGGAGACAGGGGGGCGTGTCCATGCAGTGCTAGTGTCCGGGGGGAGTGAATCCAGGGACGGGAGGTTTAGTCCAAGACCAGGGGATCCATCCGTAGTTAAAACCAGAGCCGGGTCGGGACCGGCGGGGCAGGGAATCAGGAACAGGAAACTAAAACCATAACGGAGCCAGACGCGGCAAGACCCCGGGCTCTCACGACACGGAAATCAATGAGAAGCCCCGAGCAATCGCCTGCGTCTGGCTTTAAAGGTGGAACTAAAGAGGGGCTGGAATAAGGAACAGGTGTGGGGAATGGGACAGAACGAGGAAGGGCTGGAGCGCCCTTAAGAGGAGGAGTAACGATCGTGACACTTAGTTCACCAAGGTAAACCAGACTATTTCTTTGATCAATGTATATCACAACCAACATAACTAAGTAAACACCATAGTTCTTTCCTTGCTTTGAAGTTCTGAGAACTTCAAATGTTTACTCTGGCCGGGTGTTAACTATTGTATCTAAATTCTTAAGGATACTTCAGTAGTTACAATAGCTGTAACAATAGATTACTAACAGGTACTCACACAATTTACAAGACCAACACTGGCCAACGAAAGAAATAAACCTGCCTTATAAATAAAACAGAAGGTGACCTAGAGTTAAATCTCTCTCTCTATACTGTTAATCTGGATGCTACAAAACTCATGGGACTCAATCCCTATTCTAAAAAATGTATCCACAAATCCAGAAGACTGTTTCTATCCTAGGGATTCCTTATACAGGAATTCACAGTTTCCTAAAAACAACAGAATGGCAAACTCTAACAACAAGATTAAAAAACGTAGCAAAAAATCTGGTCCTTAAGGTTGATCTGAACAAGAACCTTTCTTCTGGTTCTTTTCCGAAGAGAGAAATGTGGTCTCCCTTTTCTCTCCTCTGTGTTCTTCTTTGCATTTCTTCTTCTCTTCCACGTCTCTCCCTGTCTTTTTGTCATATTTTCCTGGACTGTTGATGACTTAATCATTTAACGAGAACTTAATTAACTAAGGTAAACCTTACGATGTCTTTCATCAATGTGTGTCAGACCCCCTAAAACTCGACAGACACCTCAGCTCTATTCTCGCCTTGAAGCTCCTGAGGGATCAAACATTCCTTTCTTTTATTACACTAGTTTGCTTTTACTGTGTAAATTTACTAACTATCCTGCTAGAATAATGGAAAATTACTAACTGGAACTTAAGTGTGAGATGGCTGTGCACCCGGAAAGTGAGGGCAGAGCTAGCCTTGGGCAGCCTGACCAGAACTGAGAGTGCCCGATATCTGCCAAAGCAATGATTAAAGGAACCCAAGAATGTTCTACAATTCTTACAGTTTATCACGGTCTGGGTGGGTTTTCTGTTTGTGATTTTGTATAAAACGCATCCTTTTGTATCAGTGAGTCGAGTCAGTGCTTCATTGGCTTTGGCTCCCGTATGCATATGTAATAAAGGACATTCCTGCTTCATACACACACAACACTCCCAAGAACACAAAAAGTTGGCAGTTGCTTGGTGTTTGACCTTTGTCTCTAAATCCTAAAACACTTCAGATAGCCACTTCCATAGTTGCAATGACATACTTCTTGAAAAGATTTAATAAAGGAATCCAATTACTATACTTGCTATAATTCTAATTATTAGAAGTCCACTTCACACAAGAGAGCAATAGAAACTGTGTAAAGATTGATTTGTCCAATATTGTTGATCAATACAAAAATTTAAAAAACAATACAAAAAAACAATACAAACCAATACAAAAATTAAAAAACACTGAAAAATGATAACCCCTGCTAATCTCCAAAAAAAGAAAAATTCACAACCCAAAACATCCTGTAGCTTGAATGAGAGTGAAAGTGACAGCATGTTCTGAAGAACAGGAAGGTAAAAACAAAAAAGACCAAACATCTGTCAGTAGATTTCACATTGTACAGAATGGAATCAAATATGAAAGAGTAACTTTTGAAACATATTTGGACCGTTATTAGCAGTCCAGTTAAGCATTGATGACAGAATCTAGCACACAAAAATGGCCAACGTTTTGAAAAACACACTAGAAACATCACAGCGAGATGGAAAACTGTGGAGTGTATAAACACTTTAGGACTTAACAATTTCCCACATATTTTGCAGGCAGGAGAGGAGTATGAGGTGTGGCGCTGGGAGCACGTACCCACCCTAGCGGAAGTTCTGGAGGAGTTCCCCTCTGTCACCTTGCCCACCTCCCTCTTGCTCAGCCAGCTGCCTCTACTGCAGCCGCGGTACTACTCCATCAGCTCTTCTCCTCAGGTCTGCCCCCAGGAGATCCACATCACTGTGGCTGTGGTCCAGTACAACACACAGGGTCAGTCTGTCTCTCTCTCGTGCTCGCTCTGAAGATGTGGTGTCAGTTTGTCTGAGTCTTGTTCGGTATCCCACCAATGTAAACCCTCTGATTTTAAACTCTGATATTTCTCAATCCGGTTCACTGTAATGATCCTTCATATCATTCAAGAAAATGGAGAGGACAGTTCATCTTTCCTCTGAAATATATTTGTCAGAGCGCTTTGCCAATGTACACACTATAAGCTTCACATTATTTCGGTTCTCGCTCCACTGCAAACTTACAGAGACAGTGGAGGCTTTTGAATGGCAAACTGAGGTTATTCCATCTGTCTCAATCTCACTGTGGCCACAGATGGTTAATAATTTCCCTGACAAATGAACTGGTGATGTTTGGACAGTAGGATTCAACCAGTTCTCTGAATGGGCTCCCCTGCTGGTTGAGTTGCTCAGGAGTCTCCAGATTTTGTTCGGCCTTTCTTTCTCAGAGTCTGTATGTCTTTCTGTCAGACTTTTCTATGGTGTGATACCTCAAGAGAGTGCACAACTGTCTGTCTCAGTGTCAGTGGTGCAATAATGAGCACAGGGTTCTGTCTCTTCTGCCAGGTGGAAAAGGGCCCCTGCATTATGGTGTCTGCTCTAATTGGCTCCACCAGATCCAGCCTGGGGAAGCCGTTCCCTGCTTTGTCAGAGGGTAAGATTTTTCTATTAAGTATATAACTGACTGTCTTTAAGTAAATTCAATACATTTTATATTTTAAAATATAGGTACATTTTATCTAAGCCTTTTGCTGTAACTAACCTATACAATATTATCCATTACAGTTTTAACATTAACTGTAAGGTGAAAGTGATTTTTTTAGCACAGATAAATGTTTGCCACTTCCGATATGAGTTTTTGTCAACACTTTGTTCTCCAATAGGGCTCCATCCTTCCACCTGCCCTTGGACAGCTCTGCCCCCTGCATCCTAGTGGGTCCTGGCACTGGCATTGCACCCTTCAGGAGCTTCTGGCAACAGCGGCTGTATGAGATCGAGCAGCTGGGTGAGTGTGACCATCCAAGAGAATATCTGATTGGACTGTGGGACTCGTTAAGGCAGAGAGAACATACTTTTGAGATTGCTTACTGTAGGACAAACACATATTCAAAACCATACTTTTTAGTGTGGAGTTAACCTTTATTAAAGGTTTAAATAAACTACTCATTTTATGGGTATCTAATGCCCTAGGTTGTGCTGTGTGATCTATTTGCAGGGAAAAAGCCAGAAGGAATGGTCTTGCTCTTCGGCTGTCGCCAGGCTGAATTTGACCACATTTACAAAGAGGAAATGGAAGATGCCCAGAGGAGGGGAGCCTTGAGTGCTGTCTACACTGCCTACTCCCGGGAAAAGCACATTCCCAAGGTACTGACTGTTATCTCTTATTAAAAACACAGCAATGACTATTCTACCTATTCCAACAGAGGGCAAACTGTTGTGTGTGATCTACCACAGTGATGACTCACCACCTCCACCAGCAGAGGGCACACTGCTCTGTCTGCCTGAACAGAGTGATGACACTTTTATGTTGAATTTTTCAGTCACTTCACTGCAGCTTTTATGCGCACACCAATATATATATAAATACATGTGTAAGGAATAAGTGCTAATGTACTTATTAAAATTTAAGTATGGGGTTTTGATTCTATGCCCTTCAAAAATGGTTAAACCACAATAGAAGCTACCCATTGTCTACATTGTGGTACAGGTGTAATGGTGGCCACAGCATACAGAGCAGATACAGATGATGTTGACATTCTTCCTTTGCTCACAGCACTGTGTGAAGTGAGATCATCTGTTGCCATTGCTACATAGCCCAGTGTGTTTCATGCACAGCAGAAAATTCACTTACAAATATGCTAACACTCATGCACTTTACCTTGGTGAATAACAAAAGTTGAAAAGAGTTTACATTGCTGAAGCTGTGCATCTCTGTATTTGGCCATGCTTGATTTTACTGCACAGAAACCTTTCTTTAAAGGGGGCTGTGGTCATTAAGCATTTGCTGCTTTTACAGCAGCGTGCAGAGAAATGGATGATTCAAGGTCTTCATGTTACAAGTATGCTAATGCCAGAAGGAGGTATTATATTGGCATCTTGGCATGTTTCATTATACAGTATGTTGATTTCTTATGTGGAAAAGGCTGGCTCATGTTTTATAAATGCCAACTCATGTCCTGTTTGTTCTATCAGACCTACGTCCAGGACATTCTGAAGCAGCGTCTGTCAGCAAAGGTGTGTGAGATACTACATCATGACTCGGGTCACATGTACGTGTGTGGTGATGTCACCATGGCGAAGGATGTGCTGAACACAGTGCAGCAGATCCTGGTGTCCGACGGAGGGATGACTGATAATGCAGCAAAGGAGTACCTAACTAGGCTAAGGGTAAGGATAACATTTTAGCAACAATTTAGCATACACTTTTCAATAGATTATAGCATTTTCTGTATTTTTATTACTTTTCTATATTTTATAAAACAATGGTTCTCAATCTAAGCAATAATATGTGACAGTCATCTCAGTCTACATTATGATGAACGGTTCCTAAAATGTGTTAGTAGGTCGTCTTTCCTACCTGCATTCAAGCACTCTAGAGCTGTCTACATCACATGTCTTCTGTCGTGTGTCTGCCCATTTTTCAGTTTTATATCTGATTTAACTTTCTTTCTAGCTTCTGCAGCATTTGCTAATCCTATTTTGGAATTACCTGGGAATGTTAATAGTTTATTACATATACCAGAGAATCTAGAGTATTCTAGATCTTCGGCCAGCAGCCATATCACCCTGCAACTCACAACTGGCAACCCACTGAAGCTAAGCAGGTGTGAGCCTGGTCAGTACCTGGATGGGAGACCTCCTGGGAAAAACTAAGGTTGCTGCTGGAAGAGGTGTTAGTGGGGCCAGCAGGGGGGCGCTCACCCTGCGGTCCATGTGGGTCCTAATGCCCCAGTATAGTGACGGGGACACTATACTGTAAACAGGCGCTGTCCTTCGGATGAGACGTAAAATCGAGGTCCTGACTCTCTGTGTTCATTAAAAATCCCAGGGCGCTTCTCGAAAAGAGTAGGGGTGTAACCCTGGCGTCCTGGCAAAATTTCCCATTGGCCCTTACCAATCATGGCCTCCTAATAATCCCCCTCTATGAATTGGCTACATTACTCTGCTCTCCTCCCCACTGATAGCTGATGTGTTGTGAGGGTTCTGGCGCACTATGGCTGCCGTCGCATCCTCCAGGTGGATGCTGGTGGTGGAGGGGAGTCCCTATTACCTTTAAAAGCGCTATATAAGTGTAAGCAATTATTAGTTAATTATAGATTAGATCTGCAATGCAATTATAGAGTAGATCTGCAATTGCAATGGTAGTGTTGTTACAGTTCCAGCATGTTGCCACCAGAGGGCGCCTCAGACACTGGTTGCTGGTCCAGCTATGCAGGAGAGGTGCAGACCACGCAGACGGCTGTGGCCAGTCATGAATTGCCTCCCCTCCACAGCCCTACAGTATATAAACTGTGCCCTTAGTCCTTTCGATGCTTAGCTCTTGTTCTTTTTTTGTTCTTCTTTTTATGTTTATACCTTATGGGTTCTCCTTGTTTTCTCCTGCATCAGGTGTTTTATTTCTCCTGGGGTTGCCTATCTGGTTCTTGATTTTAGCATACTTCTAGACTTCAGTTGTGGGCTGTGGATTATGCTTATTCAATTCGACATTCCTACTATTCCTATCACTCCTTTGTTTATTTGGGCTGGCTAGGCAGCCTTAACAGGTGTGGCCCTAACATTCTTAAGACCAAACACAGACGTCCTATACTACTATTATTTCACCACTATGACATTATGGCGTTCACTAGCTTTCTAAAAATCTAAGCATCACATTATGTACTTTGTATTCTTTACTGCTGTTGCTTGAGCAAAGGACTCTAACTTAAGCAATACCTACAGTACAGTGAAAAGCATTAGTGTTGGGACAATGAGTTAAAATTACTAAATAACTTTGTATGGAAAATAGTACACAGTAATACAACAAAAGCTAAAGCTGAGTATTTCTTCCTCAAATTAGTCTTTCAATGTAAAATATAAACTTCATTAATACATAGCAAAAATGAGAAATTTAACTTCAGTCCCCTTACTTATAATTTTCAATGTATTATAAGTATTTATATTACACTGTAATTTATAATACATTTTCTAAACCCATTGAGTACCTCCTAGAATTCAACTATTCTATCCTACCATAGTTATACAAATCCTTTTTTAATAATAATTATTTCTAATTATTGTCCCATTAATTGTTATTACGTAATAGAAGACATATTGGTCTATAAGTACTTTGTTTAGTTTTGTCACACTTGTTGGAGATGGGTCCTGTATTGACAATTTTCCAGTCCATCAATAATTACCCCTGATTTGAGTAATTTATTTGATTAATCTTCCAAAATAACACACCTAATTTCCAACAGTACAGTTGATATAATAGCAGGCCGTAGTAGTAGGCTGTTATTGTACCCCCTGGCATTTTGTTACATTATCCTTGTCTAAATGTGCATCACACAGACTGATCCCTCTCATTCATTTCTCACTGTCCAGATCCTACTTGCCCTACTTGATCCTACACTCTTTCTCTCTCTCTCCCCACAGGATCAGAATCGGTACCATGAGGATATCTTCGGGGTGACTCTGCGCACTCATGAAGTCACCTCCCAGATACGCTACCGCTATCACTCCTAGGATGAAAGAGTCTTAGGGAGCTCAGAAGGGCCAGAGCTCTGATCCTGCACTTGGTGACACAGGGATTGAAGCAGTCACACATAACCACACAATCAACCACACACATATCCTCCGTCTATTGGTTCTCCTACACTAATACATCCAACCATTAGTCCAGGGAGAGACACCTAACTACACTAAATAGTGCACATGTGTAATGTGCAAACAGGTAGACCTGAGTACACATACTGGTTTGGTAACCACCTGCACAAAGACTAGACAGACAGACAACCCCTCCTTCCCCACTTGGATCAGTCCTACTCACTGCTATAGAAAGATTTTACTGGAACTTAAATCAATCATATTCACATGAAGAGACAGTAGGATATCTCAACATGCATTGAAACGCACTCAGAGAGACCTTGTAAAGAAATATTTTAACAAACTTCTAAATACATGCACACTCAACCTTTCATAAAGCCATCATTCATACAAGATCTTCATAAATACAAATTCACCCACATAAATCAACATTCCTTGAGATTTTACAAAATGCTCACTTCAAGTAAAATCTGTTGCCATGGTTTAGCGATAATCACAGTCTCAAATAAGTATAAGAACAGGGCTTGGCTGAATATGGAGTGAAGGTGAAAGGGGATTTGAAAGATGTACAATAGGACAAGAGTCAGTGGGGCAGGACAGGATGCATATAATGACTCTTTAGGAGTCATCAGAACTAGGAAACTTCAGATATTTCAGATAATGTGACTATGATGATTCAACATTTTTCTAAATAACAGATATGACCTATTCTTTGTATTTTAAGAGAATAATTATTATAATTATAATTTCACTGAATAAAGTAATTACA